CGCACTCAATACCCCTCGGATATGTCCTATGTGCTCATCAATAGATTTACTATAAATCAAAATATCATCAAAATATACCACAACAGATTTACCAATGAAAGGACGTAGTACCTGATTCATTAGTATTATGAAAGTGCTTGGTGCGTTAGTTAGTCCAAAAGGCATGACTAACCACTCAAACAATTCGTCTCTTGTCTTGAAAGCTATCTTCCACTCGTCTCCGGGACGGATTCTGATATGATGATAACCAATTCTGAGATCAATCTTGGAAAAGATCACAGCCCCATCAAGTTGATCAAGCATGTCATCTAGTCTAGGAATGGGAAACTTGTAGCCAATAGTGAATTTGTTGATTGCTTTGCTGTCAACACACATCCTCCAACTCCCGTCTTTCTTCGGTGTCAATAATGCCGGTACCGCACAAGGACTCATGCTAACTTGGATGTGTCCCTTTTTCAACAGTTCTTCCACCTTCTCCCGTAAGATCTCATTCTCCTTAGGACTCATTATGTAGTGTGGCAGCTTAGGTAGGCTAGCACTAGGAACAAAATCAATGTGGTGCTGAATGTCTCGCATGGGTGGAAGCTCATTAGGTAACTCGTCAGGAACTACATCATGAAACTCGTCGAGCAGTCCCTGCACTTCCAYTGGAATTTTGTTCTCCCCTAGTGGTTCACTCATACTCTCCCCTTTTATAACCAATAAGTGGACCTCGCGGGTATCTTTACACTCCCTTACAAACTCAGAGTGGCGATGTGATATGGTAAGAAAATTCCTCTCCTCTACCTTTGAAGCCTTGGTTTGGTTCTTTTCCGCCATAGGTAACAATGTATAGCACACACCCTCTTTTTCAAGCTGGTATGTGTTCTTCCTACCCAAGTGTTTGGCATCTGCATCAAACAGCCAAGGCCTACCAAGCAAAATATGGCGAGCATCCATATCCACGATATCACAATAAACATCATCAATATACTTACCAATAGAGAATGGAACCTTGCAGCGTTCCTCCACACGTACGCCCCCGACTTCCTTGATCCAACCAATCGTGTAAGGGTTTGGGTGTTTCTCAGGAATTAGTTGCAGTTTCTTCACCACATCTCTACCGATAATATTCTCCTGACTGCCACTATCAATAATAATTTCAAACAACTGACCTTGTACCGTACACCTAGTGCAAAACAGTCGGTGTCGTTGTGTGTCATCTTTACTTCTCTGAGATAGCATGAGCTTCCTCAGAACACACGTGTACTCTTCATGCTCATAAGTACCTTCTTCATCCTCTCCATCGGGCCCACAATATACTTCATCATCACCAACATCTTCCTCATCCCTCTCCACCATGTTAACTGCCTTTCCCGTGGGACAGTCACTAGACCTATGCCCAACTTCATTGCACTTGAAGCACTTAAAATGAGCAGATTTTGCATAGGGATTAATGGTTTTAGGAGGGTTTGAAGTATTACCTCGAGTGTTTCCTCCCATTGCGGCCTTATTGGTGTTAGCTACATTCGGCGGGTGGGAGGTTTGTACCCCTTGAGTTGGCTTGCCCTTGTCAACCATTGCGGGCCTGTTGTCATTCCCGTTATATCGTCGATAATTATCGGCTCGAGTCCTCTCTTGGAACATTAACTCAGTCTTCAAAGCTAAGTTCCTCGCTTCCTGCACACTCATAACCATCTGGACTCCAATCTTGTCTCGAATAGTAGGCTTCAAACCACTCAAATAACGGGCTGCATGCTGATTGTCACTTTCTGACAACTGGTTCCTTTCAGCCAATCTCAGAAATTCTGAGGTGTACTCGTTAACACTTCTCGTTCCCTGCGCACATCGTTGATACAATTCAAACATGTATTGCTCATAATCAGGAGGCAAAAACCTACCTCTTATTAATTGTTTCATGTGTCTCCACGTTTGAACTGGACCTCTTCCTTCTCTGATCCGAGTCTCCCTCATTCGTTCCCACCAGACAGATGCTCCTCCCTTCAATCAAAAAGCTACTAGTTTCACCCTTCTTTCTTCCGGGATCTCCATGTACTCAAAGAAGCGGTCGACCTCGGTGATCCAATCTAGAAGGCCCTCTATATCCAAATCTCCACTAAAAGTAGGGATATCCACCTTGAGTTTAAACTCATCATCATTCCGACGGTGATTAAAATTGCCCTGGTTTCGCCAATTTCGACCGGTCCTGCCATCACCGGGAATAACTGGAGCAACGCCAAACTCTAGCTCGTCGTCGCTATCATCATCAATAATAGGGTTCTTGGGTATATGATCAATGATTGGCCTACCGTGGTCGTCTCCTCTAGCTTGGTGCAATGCGTTATCCCTATTCCTTGGAACATCCTCCCGCAACAAAGTCCGTAGTTGTCCAGCGATCTCTACCAACTATTGCTCAATGTTATGAGTGGTTTTTCGCTGCTCTTCGATTGCTCTCCAAACAGCTTGTAACCCCTGATCTCCGTCATGGGGTTGGTTGCGACTGCTACCGTCTTGGTTGGCCATCTGACTGGGTGAACTCCAGCTCTGATACCACCTGACACAGCGTGAGGCGTTCATAGAGTTATCTCTGTCGAACGCCTCACGATGCGTCAGTATATACCTGTATGATGAAGACTCCTGTACACATAGTACTTTTAAGACTCACAATATAAATGCAAGCCCAAATTCATCAAAATTATTAAGGTGAGATTACTAATTTCGGTGTTCTGTGAGATTTATGGTATCAGAGCACAGGTTGGCCTCTTTGGCAAACTCAATAATGTTGACTGTACCTGCAAACTCAGGTGCTACTGAAGCTAGAGTCGCAACCATTGTGAACATGAATCTGCYAGCTACAACAAGTCATTTAATCTCCATCAAACTAGATCGCATGAACTACTTACTATTGTGATCTCTGTTTGTGGCTGCTCTCAAAGGTCTCAAAGCTATGGGCTATGTTGATGGTACTATCCAATGCCCACCTAAGACCATTGAGAAAGATAGTACTTATACTATGAATCCATATTTTATTCTAAGGAAACAACAAGACCAGTTGCTCCTCGGTTGGATTCTTGCTTCTCTCTCAGAAGGTGTTTTGGCCCAAGTTATTGGGTACACAACCTCAAGAAGCGCATGGAATGCCCTGTCAAGATTCTTTGCTTCAAAATCAAAAGCTCGTGTGATGCAACTCAGATTTGAACTGGCCCATTTGAAGAAGATGAATCAGTCAATGGATGATTATCTAGAAAATGCTCGTTTGATCTCTGATAGCCTTACTTCTATTGGTGAAACAGTCACAGACTCTAAACTGATTTAGTTTGTGCTAGGACTTGGCCCAAACTATGAATCTCTTGTTACTACTCTCTTACTGAAGGGAGAAGATCTATCATTTGATGACATACATTCTATTCTTCTCAATCATGAGATTCGAATGCAGCACACTGGATCTCTATTTGATCCAATATCTCCCCAGGCCAATGTTGCAATCCAAAAGTAGACTCAGTCGTTCAAAATAGATGGCTACAAGTCTAAATCAAAGCCAAGTGAGCAAAAAGGTAAGAAACCTAATCCCTATCAAGGGGTTAGGTGCTAGATATGTCTCAAATTCAATCATACAGCTTACAAGTGTAGGGCTCATTTTGATAAGAATTTTTGCCCTGATTCATCTCCTTCTGCATACACTGCTGCAACTAGTCCAATCATTGATAACATTTGGTACCCAGATTCAAATGCAAGCCACCCAAATCTTCATCTTCAATCTGTATACAATGGACCAGATCAAATAATTAACGATTGGMAATGAAGAAAGTTTATCTATTGCACATACTAGTACCTCTACACTATATGCTTCTGAACATTGCTTTATTTTGAAAGACATACTCCATGTTCCCAACATTACTAAGAATTTACTTTCTGTGACTAGATTTTCTAAGGACAACAATTGTTTCTTTGAATTTCACCCCAATGAGTTTTTTGTGAAGAACCGGGAGATAGGCAAAGTGTTATTTCAAGGTCACAGTAAATATGGCTTGTATGAGTTATAGGGGATTTCAAGTGGAGTTACTAATAATGTCCCTCCTCTTACTGCATTCCTTGGGGTGTGGACTTCTATTGATCGCTGGAATGAAAGTCTTGGGCATATAAGGTTGGTTTGATATGTAGTCACCTCCAATAATCTTCCTCTATCTTTTAATAAACGGATGACATTTTCGCATTCTTATCCTCTTGGCAAGTTGCATAAACTACCATTCTCTTCTAGTTCTACTACATATACATCTCCACTTGAACTTATTTTTAGTGATGTATGGGGACCTTCTCCTGTGAACTCTATTAATGGATTCATGTACTATATTGTCTTTGTTGATGGCTTTAGCAGATATCAATGGATTTTTCCTCTTGTTCACAAATCAGATGCACTTCCTACATTTGTCAAATTTAAACAACAGGTTGAAAATCTCTTGAATGCTAAAATTAATGTCTTCAAACTGATGGTGGGGGAGAGTTCAGAAAATTTCAGTCTTACCTTGAGTGTTATGGCATTTCTCATTGACTCTCATGTCCACATACGCAAGAGCAAAATAGGATGGCTGAAAGACGCCATCGCCAAATTGTTGAAACAGGACTGACATTATTAGCAAAGTCCTCAATGCCTCGAGATTACTGGTGGGAGGCCTTTCATGCAACAATGTTTTTGGCTAATAGACTTCCCACGCCGACACTCAACATGCAATCACCATTTGAACTGTTGTTCAAACGTAAGTCGATTATGAGTTCTTAAAGGTTTTGCGGTGTTTATGCTTCCCATATCTTCGGCCCTATGCTTGTAATAAACTTGACTTTTGTTCATCAGCTTGTGTGTTCTTGGGATAATATGATAACTACAAAGGATATTGGTGCTTACATTTGCCCTCTCAACTCATTTTTACATCTCAGCATATCCTATTTGATGAAGATGTGTTTCCATTTGAATCTCATGAACCCAAACAGCAGTCTTCACCTTCACGATTTTCTCTTGGACAGCCTCATATGGTAAGTTGTATCCCTTTAGTGCCATGTTCAACTACTACTATTGCTCCTCCTATTGCACATTCCTCTAACCCACCAGTCTCCTTACCACCCTCATTTTCATCACCTGATTTGGTATAGTCATGCACCTCACCTTCACTAACTGGTTCTGCTCCATCTCCTTCATCCAAACCAGAAACCAGTACCAGTGAGCTTGTTTCTCCCTCCTCTACTAATGATGCTCAGGTGTTGCTCTCCTCTACTCCTCCGAACTGTCATCCTATGCAGACCAGGTGCAAAAGTGGGATTTCAAACCTAAAACATATATGGCTTCCAAGTATACACTATCCTCTTTGTCTACTGAACCAACATCATTTGCTAAGGCCAATGCCAATATAGAATGGCGAGCAGCTACGCAGTCTAAAATTGATGCCTTACACCACAATCAAACTTTGGTGTTGGTACCACCCCCACCTAACATCAATTTGGTTGGATGCAAATGGGTTTTTAGCATTAAGCAAAACCCAGATGGGAGCATCAGTCACTTTAAAGTGCGACTAGTTGCTCAGGGATTTCATCAATGTCCTAGCATTGGTTATATAGAGACATTCGGCCCTGTTATCAAGCCCACGACCATACGTGTTGTTCTCTCTAGATGATGGCCTCTTCAACAATTGGATGTACAAAATGCATTTCTCCATGGAGATCTTGAGGATGTATATATGAAGTGAAACCTGTTTCCACACCAATGGCTTCCACCACCAAGTTGGCCCAACATTCTAGAGAGCCTCTTGCTGATCCTACTACTTTTCATATTATCATTGGTGCTTTACAATATTTGACTTTAACTTGACCTCACATTGCCTTCTCTGTTAACAAAGTTTGCCAAATCCTTCATCAACCCACTTCTGATCATTGGGAGGTAGTTAAGCAAATTCCACGCTATCTCAAGTCTACGCTTCTTTTTGGCTTGCGATTGTCTCCTTCTACATCTCTTGATCTCCATGCCTTTTTCAGACATAGACTGGGCTGGCTCTCCTGATGATAGACGATCTTATGGTGGTTTTTGTGTTTTTATGGGTTCCAATCTCATTTTTTGGTCTTCTCATAAGCAAGCTACAATCTCTCACTCTAGCACGGAATCGGAATACAGAAGCCTTGCTTGTGCTACATCAGAACTGATTTGGTTGTAGTCACTCCTTCGTGAATTGGGTGTTTCATCCACTACCTCTCCCATCTTATGGTGTGATAATCTTGGTGCGACCTATCTTACAAAATATCCAATCTTTCATGCTCGCACCAAGCATATTGAAATTGATTATCATTTTGTGAGAGAGCGGGTTTCTAAAAAGGAACTCCACATTCGATTTATTTCCAGTCATGATCAGGTGGCTGACATCTTCACTAAACCCCTCTCTCTTGCTTGATTCAGCATGTTGCATGACAAGTTGACTATTGTTCCACCCCCATCAACTTGAGGGGGGATGATAGAGTATGATAGAGTCATACATCTGTCAAACTCTATCCTATACATCTGTCAATTTCTATCTTGTTCTAACTTACTGCCTACTTATCTTGTATATACCTGTATGATGAAGACTCCTGCACACATAGAACTCTTAAGACTCACAATATAAATACAAGTCCAAACTCACTAAAATTATTAAGGTGAGATTACTAATTTCGGTGTTATGTAAGATTACTAATTACAGTGTTTTGTTTTACCTTCAACTATCCAGACCATAGGTCCTAAATATGGGAAGAAACTGAGACCCCCGGCCCACAGAAGATAATTTCCTCCTGTTAACTTGAATGGAATTAAAGGGGTAATGTTAGGAAGACTTGCAAACAAGTTAGCAATGTTTGAAGAAAAGGGAGTTAGTTAATGCCATGATCTCTTGTGGCTCCCGTACCATATCAGAGTATACATACACAGAGAGGATTAATAGGGTACACTGTAACAGTGAAATGATTTAAAGAAAGACTCTCTCTCTCTCTCTCACAGATGTCTCGAGAGAGTTCATTCATTTATGACATCACAGAACAGTAGTGGTTATAATAGTTACAACGGTTTTACAAATAATCAGTTACAACCGTATTTCTTATCACAACTAACTGATGATGTGTGATCAAAGACTGAGTCAGCATCAATATTATATAAAGAATATATTTCCATAATAATAATATATAACAAATAATCAGTTCGTTACTACAAATGAAGTGTTTTCAACTGTGTTCCTTCCTAAACAAATGATCAAGTGATGATAGGGCTAGAAATCTACAGATTCCCTGCCATATTATTGTAATTTACGTAAAATTGGATCAGCAAAATTGTCGTCGTAGTGGCCATGATGGTCAGTGGTACCAGAAATGGGTGCATGAGTGAGCTGTGGCTCGGTGTGGGTTGGAGGCGAGGGGGAGTGCTTTGCAATCTGTTCCTCGGCCTTTTGTGCGGCTTTGTCCACATGGAGATCCATCTTGGCTTCCGCTTCTTTTGCTTTCCTGAGCTCATGAGCCATCTGGACTCGTGCCCTTGCTATCTCCTTCTCCACCTGCAATTTCACAAGTACACAGAATGAATGGGTAGTGCTTTAATTTGGCTTCACCGAACCGAATATGCAATTATCTGAAGGCCTTAATTAATTCTCATTCCAGTAAGAACCAGAGATATATATATATATCTATATACCTTCTCTTCGGCCTTGGCTTCCGCTTTGGCCTTGCGCATAGCGCTTATGTCACTGAGCTTCTCCCTCACCGCCTGCATATCGTTGTCTACTTCGTGTTCTACCAAATCCCGTTGGAAAATAATTAAGCTGAGAGACACAACGGCCATATATAAAGCAAGTCCCTTCAGGGTGTCTCAGGGCGTTGAGTTGACAAATGTCAAGCATATAAACGTTCAATCTCCATGAGACCAGGGTCCCTAAGATTAAATTTGAACATGAGTACGTCGTCCTGACTTTTGATTTAGTGGACGGAAATGAAGCAAGGATTAGTTGAAATGTTGAAGACGATGGTACACCTTCATCTAAGCCGCAAGAAACGACAAACATGGATTGGTTGAAGGCGATCGATGGTAGTGTACAACTTGGATTTAATTAAGTGCTACCATGTATATTTTTTTTTTTTGACTAAAATAATCCAAAAGAAATTTAAACTTGAATCACCCATTTAATAGCATATTTGACTTCAGTCTGCTCTTGACACATTCCCACATTTTTAAGTTAGAATTGAAAAGCTCTTTTCAAGAGGTGTTCCGGTGTTTCTTAGATTTGAAGAGAAATAATCAAGGTGACACAGGAAGTTGGAGAAGAGAAGAAGATGGTGGTACCATCGAATCGATGAGATAATCAGATTCCACAGGCGCATCTCAGCGTGCATTGCATGGGAGATATTCCCAATACACGGTTGGGATGGGCTGTACAATGGGGCCAAGTTCTTGAAAGATTGGGTCATTTATCATTTTAAGCTTGACATGGAGATGTTCATAATGTATACGATAGCAACCATAGATTCGAAGATGTAGTGGATGAACTGGTTGAGGATCAAATAACAATACAACGTACGTGAAAATGTTATTATGGCCTTGGTCCAAGGCACAGGAGACTAGCTCCTCACATTGTGTAGTGAATGTCAAGGTCTCATCTCATGCATATTTGTTCATGGGCTGGGTGGGTTGCCTCTTTATCAATAGAAAATGTGCAGGCCTGAGCCCAGTCCTTATATAAAGCACAAAATTTGATATGTATACAAAATACCTTATTTTTAGTGTATTTTTATAAATTAATATTATATTAATTTAATAATAATTTAATAAATTAATTTATATTTTTTAATAATAAATTAATATTTATTAATAATTTAAGAAAAAAATACATATTATATATATTTATTATTTATAACATAAATACTTTTTATTATATGTAATAGTATTAGGTCGGGTTCAGGCACGAATCGGGCTTATTTGAGAAAGCCTGAGTCTGGCCCAAAAAATAATCGGGCTTGGTATTTAAAGCCCGAGCCCAAAAAATAATGAGCCGGGCCGGGCCGTCGAGCTACCCAGCCCATAAAAGGTCTAATGCCATATACATGGATGATGCATGTAGATTTGGAGGAATCTATTTGTCTTCTCTCTTGCCAAGACCATCATCATCGCCATAGATTTGTAATGACTTGGAGTAGGTCCAATTGGGGAAACTAGAATCAAGTGCTTGGAATTTGGGCCTACCCACCCCATTCTAGGGGTAGGGAGTGACTGAAGGTTATATCGGTCGATGTCAAACAATGGAGAATAGTGGCACAAATCTATGTAGGCTTTTGGCATTGATGTCGTTGCTTTAGAGATGTTTTCTAAGAAAACTGTGTTGTATGCATTGGGTCTGTTACATTGTTTTTTTAGAAAATGACTCTTTTTTTTTGGCACCGGTGCTGCCACATCGATTGTTTTCTAGAAAATAGCACTGGTTTTGTTTGGTACCAATGCTGCAGAACCATTTTTAGCATTGGTCTATATTATCCAACATCCAAGATGATGCCACATCATTGTACCGCTGGCGGCAACAGGCTGTTTTCTGAGAAAACATTGAATTTGGCATTTCTTCATACCACACTTTCCCGATTTGCAAGACGTGGTCTGGAGTAACGTTTTTTTTTACAAAAACGATACCAAATAAGATGTTGTTTTCTAAAGCACTGCTTTTTCTGATGTAATTGCCTATGTAGTATCATTTTCTTACAAAACGGCATTGGTGCCGAACACCGCCTATAGTATTGTTAGAAGCAGTCCATAAGAGTTTATTCAACGTAATAACTAATGCCTCATTTTAAATTGAAGGGGAGATGGTGAAGGCATTGATCAACGAAAAGGGCTAGTCAATCACTACAAGTACCAAGCGTAGTCGGAATTCAAGGCCAAGTTTCATCGGAGTTTCGGCTTACATCATTTATTGGACACAAGAGGTGAACCCTATGTCCAAGGATAAGACCCCCGAGACTATGAATTGCAGCCACCGATCGAGCTGAAAGGTTTGGCTATGAAAATCTGTGAGGTGAATGACACTCGATCGGTATTCGGTAGGTTGAAAGTGGCCACACAAATTAAAGATTGTTTGACTTCAATTCTCCAACCAGATACAAGATGATTTGGCAAGATTAGCAAGGAAGTAGTTTGGTATAGTAGTGATAGGAAGGCGAGATTCTTGATTATGGTTCGGAGTTGGCCGTGGCCTAACATGGAGGTCATTGGTTGCGGTCCGGATTAGCTCTAGATATTGAATGAACATAGGAGGTGGCAATGCTAACCAAAGGATTTACATTAATTAACTTAGTGCGCAATGCATGTTTTTTTCCAGTTAATTTCAATATTTTTGTTATTTCTTTCCTTCTATATTTTTAGTTGAGGATTGATGAGTGAGGAGAAAATATTCTTAGAAGTTCAGGATCGGAAAATACCCTTAGAGATTCAATCAAGATGACCTCATTTGATATAAAAGTCATGAATTATAGAAACAAAGTTTTGATTTTGTTTTTGCTTGATAGATGTCTGCTAGTTACCATTAAGCAAGGTTCAAAGTATCAGAAATATAAGTGTATCAAAAAGATAAATTTAAGAGATGTATCGGAATATTTCTTGAATATGCATGGATATTGATGGTGCATGATCTGGAGCTCCTAGTTGAATGGCAACTTGGACATCGATTGCTTGCCTAGAGAGTCAAGCTGTAAAAAGAGAAAGCACAGAGAGCCTGGGATGGTTAACTCGGCGTGGTCACTCTGATGCTTAAGTCAGTCACTGGTTGTGTAAACGAGCTAGTAACTTGAATGCAAGAAAGCTAGTAAGTACAAATCGTGTGTGCTAGGGTCTTACGGGCTGATGCCCTTATATAGTTGAGCTGCCATGGGTATCACGAACACCTCTAAGATCCTTGACCCGAGCTGTAGGAGTTCGTTCCGCTCTGAGAGGTGGGTAATGTGCTAGCGATAAGGCACGTTAAGGCCTATCGCGTTCATCCAATCCTGGCGGGATAAGGATAAGTGCTACGATCGTGCAACATGATCCCGAAGAGCTTGGAGACAGCTGGCATACTTCTAGAAATCGGATATGTGTCACCTCGGTAAGTTAGGCGATATCAGGCTACTTGGACCTTGGTGATTGTCGAGGTGCCTGAGACAGACATCCGAGGTGGCTTAGCCCACCGAGGTGGCAGGTGGTGCTGAAATGGAAATATGTGTTAGGTCTTAGTCTAACTGGCAGGTTACGTCCACATGTCCTCCGCCTACTAGGTCGGGCCAAATCACCCCTCATCAATTGCACCCCACTCCCCATGCCAGGGGTCCCGACCCGGTATGGGAGGTTCATGACAAGCTTAGGTGGATTTGGCCCAGTTTCCCTCCGGGTTGATGACCGGTCCGATGGTTTGACCACAATGACACGCCTAGCTAAATCAGGAAACCAGATCGTGTGTTGGGAACGTGTAGGCATCACGCGGGTTACTTAACTCCATGGACATCAAAACACGCGCTCAACCGATTTTGACCTCGAGAGGCGTGTAGCCGATTTCTATGAGAGTCGTTGGATCGCGTTGATCCAGACTGTTCAGGGTCGGCTACAATGGCTATAAATAGAGGCCTTGGGGTCCCTTTCACTTCGTCGTATATTGTGTGCTCATGATCCTGAGGTTGCATGTCTGCTCCCATGTCGGTTTTACCTACCTATGTCTTCGAAACGGCTTCCTTTCTCCAGTCTTTAGGTAAGTTGCCTTCGTTCCTCGCCTGCTTTTGCTTTAGTTCAAGATGTCTAGCTATAGTACTGGTAGTTTGTTAGACATGAGTATTGAGTCAACCGAGGCCGAGGCGTGCACCACAGGTAAAATGACCGAGCCTGGTCCTACCGAGGCGAGTACCTCGTCAAATAGCTCTGGATCCAACCCATCCGAGATGAACACTTCAACTCAGGAGTGCCAGGTCTCTAGGAAGGAGGCCTCAACCTCTCGTCGCTCTCAAAAGCCAAGGCCAGATTGCTTCGGTCCTTCTGTGATGACAAAGGAGAGGCTCAAGTATTGGCTATATACTATAAGTTCCCCGAGGACCATGGCTCGATCATCCCATTGGAAGGGTATCCTTGGGAACATGATCACAACGAGATCATGGTATTCGAAGAGCAGTTGGCTGCCGGAYTGTGCTTCCCACTCCATCCCTTTTATTGTCGAAGTCAACAAATTTTTCAACATCACCATAGACTAGCTCCACCCAAATTCAGTTCGCACCATTGTAGGCCTCATCTCCCTTTTGCATGACTACAGAAAGCCTTTAACCTTAGTGCCCCCTCATCTAAAAAACGTAATTACTACCTGACCGCCTGACCTAGGTACAAAATCTTGTATGATTACCCCAACAAGGTACCGGCTTGGAAGAAACGCTACTTCGTCGTTACTATGGCTGGGTGTGGCCGTTTCCGACACACTAGAGGATGGCCATCAGTAACCTTGGCATCAAGCTAGATAAGGAAACAAAGAAGGAAATCTGGTCCTAGGTGAAGCTTAGGTTAAGTTTGAAGGATTTTTAGGCCAAGGAGAAACTAGTCAATGTGGGGCTAAGCTTGGGTAGGTCTCCACTTTGGTACACACACACTTAAACTTTTTGCTTTGTTACTTCAGCTAACTGAACACTTATTTTCCTGCAAGCACCATGTCGGATGTCCCAATCACTAAGTTGTTCTCAAACATGAAGAAGGGGAAGAAGAGTAAGGTTTCCCGTGACATCCCC